TTACAACACTTTCCACCCTTGTTTCTCTCCAACTCACTACTAAAAATCGATCAATCACAGATAGGCTGATCGGTTTCTATCAATATGTTATTATTTTACCACGGGTGTTGAGAGCCAAGCAAATAAAAGGCAAAAGGCGGTGAACCTCCTTGTTTGCACTTGGAAATACTGTTAATAATTTGTGGTGTTGAAAAACCTTCTATCAGCGTTAAAAAATGAATTTTTCATTGGGTTACTGTTTTCCAAAAGATCGAATGAAGATTGTAGTCGCGGTGACTTTTTATGCTGGATTGGTTTGTATTCACAACTTTTCCAACGTCATCACCTAATTTTTTATTCAGAAGTAGTGATTCTAACACTGTAACTTGACTGTAACTCTTGTTCTTTGTTAGAGAAATTTTGCGAGAAACTGGAGGAACGCGACTGTTGATTAAGAGTACAGAGATCTATTATGAAACCAGTTGATAAGCAAGGTTTATGGTTAAAACAAGAACTATTTTATTTATCCATAACTTCAGTAATGATATTTTTTCGCAATTACGTCTATGAAAATGCCAGGTATTAGATACATTACCGAACTAGACTGATTTACAACACAACAATTGAATTCAAACAACAACAAGCATATAATTAACGATACCCAGAAGAGGAGAAAAACTATAGAAACTAATCACGCATAAATGTAATCGAAACGTTAGCCCTTCCTCTTTCGCTCTGACGAAGGGCTAACGCTCGAAACGTCAGCTTTTTAACTCTTTAGGGAGGCCAATTTACAATTTCAACTCAGTTGATATTACCAAATTACTTAGTTTTATGAATAGTTTAATCTGAATAATTTATTGTGAATAACGAATTTGAGCTGGAAGGTATAACAAGAAATTTAATGAACGGAGAAAGTTAGATGTATTTCCCCTCCACTGTCTAAAAGGAAAACTCCTTTTTTCCTTGGGGCCAATACCATTGTCATTTTCTTTAGAGCGAACACAAAATGACTGTCAGACAAAAAGATCTTCTTGGTTAAATCTCGGTTAAAATTGTCTCAAAGATTAAAAAAAAAGTAGGCCATTGTCATTAATTGTCGTTCTTGTATGATGTAAAATGCCAATCGTTGTTTAAAATAGTTACTTACAATTCCCTAATCATGATAAATTATTCAAATAAATTATTCATCAAAGCGAAGTCTACCCTTGCCATTTCACGAAGGTACCCTTGCCATTTCACAGTTTCAGGTACGATCTTTTTGCGGTATATAATTCAAATGATTGACTTCAAAGATATTTTTTCCACGATTTGATAATTTTGACCTTTATCTTCAATACATCACTTAGGCATACAGGTCATAGAAATATTTTAATGGCAACCAGCTTTATCAGCAAGGTAAAGCCCACGATCAAAATGTAATTAAACTTCAATCAGATCATTCTGGGAACATTTTTCAAGATAGATAAACGTGAGAACGCCATTTCGCTACTTTACATGCTCATTATCGGGACTAGCTTTGGAATTAGGAAATTAAGGTTAAATGTTTTTCGGTGGAGTCATTTACCTTTACGACTTTAGGGAATATTTTTGCCAAAACTAAGGATCCTCTCACGAAAGAACAACACACCGACGCTATTTATTCTATTCCGCACAATGACTGTGATCACGAGTATATTGGACATACCAAACGTCACTTTGGTGCGCCTTCGCAAAAGCATCAAAAGTCGGTCTTCTTTTGCAAAAAAGAAAATTCAGCTTTGTTGGAGCACATATGCCTCGCTAACCAAACAATTGGGTGGAATAATTCTAAAATTATAACCACTCATCGACGTAACCACCAAGGAAGCCTGGCATAGCAGATCCACCCACGCTCCTTTAAATCGTGATGATGGCGGCTCACTACCTGACGCCTGTCTACACCTCGTATGAAAAAAGGGCAGCTTAGTAGTGAACAGAGAAAGGACGTTTTGTCGCAACGCTTAGATCACCTCTGATAAATGCACTAGACAGGAGTGTTGAGACGTTGGGTCTATGAATTGTAATTTTCCATGTCTGATTTTCACCTGGTTGCTTTGTGAGCTTTAACATAAGCCTAATAGTTTCCTTTGGTGATGTAAGATCTAAAGATTATCGGAGCCACAAGACAATGTCGTTGGATTGAATGAATTCGACAGGAAGTGAAGAGTATCGGTCGTTCATATTTAAAAAATATTTTTCAAGCCATCATGCGTCAGTTCATTAAGAGACTACAAATGGCGTCAAAATATGGTAAAAACAAACGAGGGGTACTTCGCTCGAAATAATTCAACATATATGGTGAGTGATGGGGAAGAAGACAAATGCTTTGTCGACAGAAACAATTTCCTTCCTTTCCCCTTTCCTCTCTGCCCCATTCAAAAATAAAAAACCGTGAAACGTCCAAGAAATTTTGCGAAGTAAAAAAAAACATGTCTTGAAATGTTTGAACAGCCTCGAGACAGTCATTCCACTTAATAAGTTCTTGCCGCTCCGTCCATTACTTTCTAATTAGTCCGTCCATTTGCCTTCTTGTTTAACCAGTTGATAAACATTTTGTCAATCAAGCCAAAGAGAATATTGGCGTCAGCCTCTGATAAGGACCAGCTCCGCGTTCAAAGAACTTTCTCCAACTTCTTTACGGGGTTCAAGAAATTACTGATGTTATTGCACTATCTGTAAGATTAAGGTTTTCCTTTTTTTTATTGGAAAGGAGGTGGAGCAGGGGGTGACATGGTTTTCAGCGGGAGCGAATGGCGGATCACTCGTTCACAACAGGGTATGAAAGGGGAATATAGAAATTAACTGTCAACTAACTGCCGAAGATCAGTTAATTAAGATAATATAGAACAAAACTATATGCATTTTACAACACTTTCCACCCTTGTTTCTCTCCAACTCACTACTAAAAATCGATCAATCACAGATAGGCTGATCGGTTTCTATCAATATGTTATTATTTTACCACGGGTGTTGAGAGCCAAGCAAATAAAAGGCAAAAGGCGGTGAACCTCCTTGTTTGCACTTGGAAATACTGTTAATAATTTGTGGTGTTGAAAAACCTTCTATCAGCGTTAAAAAATGAATTTTTCATTGGGTTACTGTTTTCCAAAAGATCGAATGAAGATTGTAGTCGCGGTGACTTTTTATGCTGGATTGGTTTGTATTCACAACTTTTCCAACGTCATCACCTAATTTTTTATTCAGAAGTAGTGATTCTAACACTGTAACTTGACGGTAACTCTTGTTCTTTGTTAGAGAAATTTTGCGAGAAACTGGAGGAACGCGACTGTTGATTAAGAGTACAGAGATCTATTATGAAACCAGTTGATAAGCAAGGTTTATGGTTAAAACAAGAACTATTTTATTTATCCATAACTTCAGTAATGATATTTTTTCGCAATTACGTCTATGAAAATGCCAGGTATTAGATACATTACCGAACTAGACTGATTTACAACACAACGATTGAATTCAAACAACAACAAGCATATAATTAACGATACCCAGAAGAGGAAAAAAAACTATAGAAACTAATCACACATAAATGTAATCGAAACACAATTCTTGTAACAGCTACAATATTACGCTTTCTCTTTTAGCACCGGAAAAAACCCTTTACATCAACAAAATCAACACCAAGTACTGAAGTAAAAAATACAACTAGGGAAAGAGAATTCTTCTAATTTTTTAGAGAATTCGAGGAAGGAAGAAGGATGACCATGGACAGCGACGAGTGAAACGGACTGCAGAGCTATCTGACTTGAAAAAGGGTTAAGATCGTTCATGACGTGCTAAAGCGCAATGCCACAACTTATTATCGTTACTTTTATCATTTGTTTCATTGTTCACAATCTACGTTGAGCATGTTCTTCTCCTTGAGAAATTACAGGAGGACCACCTTGACTGCTTTCTTTTTGTGGACCATCATCGCCATTTTTTTGGGCTCCTGCTGGAATCTAAGACCTCGCTTCTTTTTACGCAACATTTTCTTCATTGCATCACGAACCTAAAAGCATCAGCCCAAGACTAAGACATTACTTGACCATCTCTTATCAAGGCTAAGAAATAATATTCTTCACTTAGGGTTTCATAGCAGCCAATCCATTCGTAATTAACTTGTCGAGGTAAAGATGTCATATTTTTGTCAATGACCTGTCAAAAGTTTGAGTCCCTAACATGTAACTTTCGAAAGCCTAATCTTCTTTGGTACCTTTAGGATTATCCAAGACATTTAGTGACTATTTTCTAGTTAGAAAGCTTATACGCATAGGGTTCTCCTCAGTTTAAAGGAAGGTGAGTTTTCACCAACTTCAATCCCAGGCTAAATATAATTGCAGTTGCGATATGCAAAAGTTTTTACTTTGAAAATTTAAACCCCATGGTGGTATTTCTGTCGCACTATTACGCTTTGTCATCAGTAAAGGAAACTTCCGCGTCCTCTTCATCAGTCAGATAGAAAACTTGTGACTTGGTCAATGAAGGTTTCAGCTTTCTAGGCAGTTTTCCTCCCCATGGATTCTATGGTTGTAATAACTTCGGTTTTTGCTTCGCAACACTCGACGGAAAATTCCTCTTGGTTCAATAATCCGAAAATGGGGAACAAAAAGAAAAACCCCCAGAATGAGATGGGCTTTCACACTTACCTGATCATCGAGTGCACAGTGACAGATAAAGAACAAAATACCCTAAGATTTAAAAGATATCGCGGTTAATTTATTTTACTTTAAAACCGAGTAAATTATTCCTGCACAATCAGGAGTTGTATTTTATATCACTACAACTGGAACAAGTTATATATAGAACACTCCCTGTTCTCACAAAATGCAAGTAAAACGCTCAGAAAATATCCCTTAGTTGACGGGCTCGTTCGTTTATGCTTTTTATATGAATAGAATTTTAAAGATAATAGTTTTTTTCCCTACTAACACTTGCGAGAAAAGATTCTTGAAAGTCTTCATTCTCAATCGCTCTCACTCCTTTATTTATGTGATATGAAAAGCAACCAGCAAGTTTTGAAAACAAAACTCTTCCTTTCCGTCATGCAGTTACCTGAATTGAATTGAAGAACACAAAGACATATTCCACAGAAACATGAAAATCAACAAAGAAACCCAGCAAAAACGTTACACCCAACAATGGAAGCAAAGCGAAAATAGCTTTAAGTTTTTTCCTGAAAAGAATAAGAGAAAAAAAAAAGACTTGTATTTCATTATATCAGTTTCATTACACAACTGAGGGACAAAACAGTTATGTTATCAGTCCACTGACACATTGAACCCTCATACTACAATTTTCGGGTGAGTGAGGCGCAAAACAAATTTGGTGACGGTTAGGTTCAACCTAAGAATTACGTTGTTTTTACGAGTAACCTTCCACGTCTCCAATTGAAACCGAATCTCAAGAGCCGTGCATCGCCAATCCTCAAACTGAAGGAAGCCCGCCAAAAGAGGTAAAACGAAACGACGACGCGATGGCCGTGGAAACAACACGATTTTAACGTCAAAGTGTCGTCGCCAATTTTCTTTCGCGCCTTACAACTTAAATTTTATGTTGAAGAGAAAGTACCCTCCCCACTTCGATGCAATTCAACTCCAACTCGACACTGGAGCGTTTAGTGAGGAAACAAAGAAGCATCCATGTTTATGATGTACCTTGTAGTAGCAAGATAATTTTTGTGTCCAATTTTTCCAAAACTCACTCGCAGAACCATAACAAAGACCACAAGATTTGCCTAAGAAGAAGACGAAGAGGAAAAAAGCACATATTAATTAACCAGAAAACCATGGTCAGGCTCAAAATTAATTGAGCATAATTTCAGAGAACTTCAAAATTTGTTCCAAATTGAATTTCAGCTAAAGTGCAGCCAAAAAACAAAATGCCTCGGTCAAAAATTTATATTGGTAAATGGTAATGAATTAATGTTACCAAAAGGATGACTAAGGCAGGTCCTGTAAATTTCCAAACACTTCCGTTGAACCAGCATCTGAAATAATTACCAACAACACCATTTCAATAAAATTCATGCGAGCAAGGTAGCTATTTTGCATTAAGTGCAATAACTACTATGTAGATTCCATGAAGTTTTACCTTTCTCTGTCCACTGTACCCGTGAATTTGAGTGTTCCACAGCTGATTTCTTTATACAGGATTGTACCCATGTCGTAGGTTGACGGCTGGATTGCTGCAACTAAACCAACAATCACTCCTGGGATACCTATTCATAAAAGAGAAATGCAATTACCATACATTTTTTGATGAAAAACAAGTAAAACAATGATCCTCGCAGATGAGCTGCAATTTAAATAGTTTAATTAAGAAAAGAAGCCTTCGACGGGAATCGAACCCGTGTCTCCCTGATACTACTCATGCACTACTACCAACCGAGTAACGAGGCCACAAGTTGCGAGAAAGCAAATTCTGGAGATATCCTCTTTCAAGCGGAGGAATCGGAGCGCAATTTTTCTATTGATTCAGAAATGAATTTAACTTCTACCTTACCCCATCCCAACAAGGCGTTTATCATATATGGCTTTCTAAATGAGAAAACCTTCACCATCTTCAAATAAAGGTTTATTCCCTCAACCAACATCCAGGTGTAAAGAGAAGTGTGCAGATAGTGCTGGATGACGGCATAGATGGAGCACATGGTCTGGGGAGAAAAATGGTGGATTTGGATTAAATTGGGCTTCAATTGGTGGAAGACAGATCTTTAAACTACTTATCTACTTTATGTACTCACTTGGTTCTTTTTCATTGATGTGAGGATCTTGATATCAACTATATAAACCACTTGTCCAAGAGCCAGTGAAACAAGAAGATTCTTGTGTACGAAAATTCTCTCTGATCTTGAACCTCTGCCAGATTGTAAACAAATGTTGAACGCTGAACCGTTTACCATCATTTATTTGATAAACAATTAAGGGTTAGATTTTCCATGATATTCGTGTTTTATTACTTTTCTTTTAAAAGCGCAGGAAAGCAAAGAAAAAAAAGCAATTGGTAACGTTGGGTTTTCTTACATGTACGTGCTCTGTATCGCACCCATTACCACTGAAACAAGAAGCGACCAAGAGTTTTCCTGACACCCTCTCACCCCCCTGATTTGATGTTTGTACAGGATGCTACCCCGCTTCCTTTAGCAGTTTACAAATCCTGTATTACTCGCGCCAACCACGACTTAGCCACAGTATCCTCCTCCCCCCTTACAACTCATACTCAAGTCACCTACATACCTTATAACCATGAGAAATGCAAAGGAAATGACTTCTGCTGTAACGGAGATGCTGACGAGTGTCGTCTCAAGGTCTTCCAGAACTTGGTTGTGTTTTATTCTTTCAGATGTAATTGCAGGGTTTTCAAAGATGAAGAACCCTGTTTCCTGGAATTTAGAAATTCATCTAACGATTTTTGCTCCTTCAAAGATCCTGGCCCTCGGCCAGAAACTCGAGGAGACATCATTAAGGTTTGCGTTTTACTTTATTGATAGAAGAAGAAAGAAAAATCGTCCTTCTCCTCGGTTTTTGTTCTCACTTGCAGAGGATGTAAATAAACGAGAAACAGTTTAAAAAAGTATTTGTCTGTACGCCTTTCAGCAACAGCCCGTAATCTACAATAATTGTCATTCGCACGTGTAGGGATCAGAAGAAAAGTCATCAAAAGTACCTATAAACTTGCTGTTCACTTTTTCCGTAGTCTCATGCAGTTTAAACAGTTGTCTTACCTTGTCAAACGACGCAGAAAAACAACCTTTGCTCTTCAAAAAGTCTTGTTTCTCTTTAATATTTGCGTCATCTGATGACTGTGAGAAAATGTGCCCTACTTGTTATCTTAGTTGTTCGTGAGGGACAACTTACTTTACCTACACAGCTCATAAAATACGGGCCGGTATTACACTTTAAAACTGCGCAAAAATACGGAAGGAAAGAGAAACAACAAGATAGCCTCACTAAACGATCCAAAATTTGTTTTTATACAACCTTTAGTCTTCAACCTTTAAACCATGGACTGTTACAGCCTGTACGCGAAACAGATGTTTTTTTTCTGTATGTCATAAAGAAGCCATGAATGGTTATATTCGTGTGTTTACGACCGTTTCGTGCACACTTTGCGCGAAACTGAAATAGTGCTGGAATGAAGAAACTTCTTAATTAATGTTTTAACAGATAAAAACAACGCAGTCATTTCTCTCAATGTTCGTACTTTTCCTTGCCGCCACGGAGCCGTAAAAGATACCACGCAACTCGACAAATATTCTCTTTTACATTTTTATGAAAGGGTTAGGCAACGAATCCCGCTGCAATCTGATTGGTTCTTAGCGCGGTCCGCATTTTCCTTTCTCTGGCCACGAGCACGGGAACACTCTCTGGAGTCGTCATGTACATCGGTATCTTCGTTACCATTTTTCATCGATGTAATTCGGGGCGATGAATAACTTATTAATCCTCTCTCCTCAAATCACGTTGGTTGCCAGCTAAAAAATCTGATTCGAGATGAATTTGCAAAGTGTCATTTTATGTGTTGACAGAAAGATAAACGCGAGGTGTTTGTTTACAATCAAATTAATCAATCGAACTTTATTTAGTTGATATTTGAAATTTCCCAATAAATTTGTTCGTTGTGAAACGGTGAGCGAAGTTTTGAGTCCTACTAAAAAATACATTTTTGCAAGTCCGTTGAATTCGGACTTTTGTACCCTAAATTGCACAACAGCAGCCACAGGAATTCAAAGATAAAAAACAGCATTAAATTATCTTGAATAAAGCGTATAGTTATAATAAGTTTCAAGATCAGATCCTCGTATAGAATTAGAGTAAAAAAAAACAACAACAACAAACAAACAAAAAAAAAAAACAAGCAAAGGAGAAGAAAGGGAAAGAGGGAAGCTACTTGTGACTTGCTCCAAGTACTTTTCTACCCGTTCATTTGCTGTGTTGCTTCTAGAATTGGGCAATGTTGATAATGCGTGACATCACTGGAATTCCGATTACAATCACATGAAGTCACCACATCCAATTATACTCCCTTATTTTTCTTCGTTACTAATTTACGATCTTACCAGAGTCTTGCTGCACTCTTGGCCTCCACCTTCTCCACTTGAATTTGAAATTATATCATTTCCAGTTGTATCCACACCAGACTTTTCTAAGAGTGTAGATTGCGTTGTGTTCACACTATAACCACCAGTATTGCACGAGTTCCCTTTAGAAACCGCTGCTGTTGGCCGCTTTACATGAGTGGTTCGTGGGATATAATCTCCCTGACTAAGAGCTATGGGTTCAACACTTGACGGTGTACTTTTGGGAACCTTTTCATTTGATGGGGTACTTTTTAATAATTTCGTTGTTGAGGAACTATATATAAAAGATACGCCTTGTGTGCCACTAACACCATCTCCAGCTCTACTTCTACCACTTGTGTGAAGAGTTTTGGAAGGGGCCCTCGGTGATGGCACGCTTACGCTTACTGATATGTTTTGTCGACCTGGCTTGGCATAATTTGTAAGCAGGCGATAATTATTGATGGGGCCGAAGAGTGAGCTGAAAATTTGAACAGTCACATATGTTTTGCGGATAATAATACCATTTGAACACAAATGTTTTTTGTAAATAGTATATCCCGGCATACTTACAGCGTATCCTGGACAAGTATTTGCAATACTGGGGAATAAGACAAAACAAAAGTATATTTATACAAAATACGCTGAGCAAAAATACAAATTTTACCCCACTAAGTATTATACACGGAAATACTACATTAGACGTTGGTGGGGAATATTTATTTTTGCAAGCAATTT